TATTTTTTGGATTATTGGACTCATTGTGATGTCATAGAACTAGAAACGCTTGATTTTTCGGTGATTTTGACAGAATTTAGACATGTATCATATGCTTCTGTAAGCTAAAATACTTAAAGTAAACTATTTTTTGTCTTTAAGTGACTTAACACAACACATAGTATTAATATATCGAACAAACAATATCACTATGATTGTGATGTCATAATACAAAAAGATAGAGGCCTAATTCAAATATCTAATATCGAGATTTTTGACAAATCAAGATATATTTGAGGCATTTATACATTTTATACATTTTCAATGATAATTTAAAAAATCCTCAAAAATATAATGTCATGTTAAATATATCAATGAAAAGGTTACTAGCTAATCATGGTACCGTTAGAAAGCTTAGCATCTGTGTTAACATGCCTAATCCCTTAAATAAATCAAAACAGGTGAGAACATTTTTCAAAATGATGGTTTCCATGGTAACTGCAATGTTGTCACTATTAAAGTCCATAAATATACATTTGAAGATATCTAGGGAACGCTTTGACCATTCATCATGTTTAAAGTTTCATTGTAAAGGTAATTTAACAAACTTGTTGAAAATACATATTTTCCGGGGTTTTGGGCTCATTGTGATGTCATATAAATAGAAACGCTTGATTTTTGGTGATTTTGACATAATTCACAGAAGTACATATCATGCGCTTTTGTAGCCGATAGTAGTTACAGAATAAACTATTTTAGAGCCATAGGGACAGGGTATTCTACTGAGCTCTCTTACTTGACACAGGGAATCTAAAAGAGATTAATGAAATACAAATTCAATATTAAGATATTATAAGAACATTTTATACTAAACTAGTGATTCTACAGTTTTTAAGAAAAAATTAAATATTATCAAACCTGATGAAAGACTTTCAATTTGACCATACATCAGAGACATGACATACATCCATGTGCATATCCAATTCATCTTGAGTTAGAATTGTCTTTTACTGCTAGTTTTGTGTTCTATAAAATGCCTAATGATCACAAAACAAAACCAAATGAGTCATACACTTATGCATTCAAAAGTAAATTGTCTCCAAAACAATGTCCTGTTGTTGACATGGGGTTCATAATTTTTCGAATTGTTGAATTGATAGTTTTATCATTTTGGGTACTTCCAGGGGCGGATCTGGGAACCAACAAGGGGGGGGCAAAAATTTCAGGTCAGAGAAAAAATGTTTGGCTTGCACGTAAAATTTTTTTGGGCCCCTAAAACCCAAAAGTGGGCCCAAATTTTGAAATTTTGAGGCCTATTTTCTTCAAAATTTGGTCTGAAATTAAAAAATAAGGCCTTAAAAGGCCCAGTAATGACCAAAGAGGCCCAATTTGTGGGGCCTTAAGGCCTTTTTTAGCCCAAAATTATTTTTTTTTGGGACCAAGGGGAGGACGGGCCCCCAGACAGCCCCCCCTAATCCACCAGTGACCTCACTGAAAAAAAACATGTATTTTCTAATGATTGAACAAAGTGAATAAGTTCAAAAATGATTTAATGCATTAACTGAAGTGTTATAACACTTTTTGAATTTGGCGCTAATTGCGATACCGAGGCTTGAATTTGTTTGTTGGGTGTACTGTCGTGTGATTGGTTATGGTTTGTTCAGGTAAATTGGTCACTTCGGCTTCTTATGCGGACCAGATAGGTTGTTCACTTAATTCACCAGATATTTTATTTATTTTAAGATACATATTTGTTAATGTAAGAAAAACATTAGAAGGCATTTGTTAAAGACAGTTAATATGTTCAATATTTTACATTAGAGCTTTGGAGCCTACACCATCGTCAATTTCAGCTTAGGATGTAAGTAGATCTCCTATCTAAATACAATAGACTAGGTACTTCTTAAACTTTGTGAGAAGGGTCTCCGCGAAACTGACAAAAGTTCAAAACAACTTAGATATGTTATTCATTACCTTATTTTATCAAAGTAATCTTGAAACTTGAAAAGTTTTTAAATGTGATGATTACTTTTAATTTTGACAGTTCATGTTCATGTTTGGCTCACAGTTACAGGTATAGCCACTGATATATTTGTCTCACATCATTTAGTAGAGAACGGAGAGATAAACGGTAGAAGTTTAATTGTCTTTGCACATATAATAGTGTTCAAATGGCAAAGAAGCCACATTAATGCTCGGTGCATTGATAAAGGATAATTGAAATAATCTCTGAGAGATTGATTATCGTTGTTCAGATATAATAATGTTTAAATGGCTAAGAGGCCACTCCCTGAGAGGGATTGACGATAGAGACGCAGAGAGATTGTGAACCTGTATGATTCTGCATATTATATGGATTACTCTAATAAACGGGTCGCGCACAAGCCATCCACATAGTACTTGAGTGTTTTGTAAGTGTTTGAGATCGGATGTTTCTTTGCTTTAAATTGTTTTAATAAACACCACTGTATTTATGTCCTGAAAGTACTCATGGTGAAATATATGACCGTCTAAAGTCATTTGCCCTACTGCACATGGACCTTTACTTCAAATTTTCACACATGTTAGGGGCGGGGTCAAAATATCGATGTTCATATGGAGACAAAAGTACTTTCGCGAGGGGGGAGGGGGTTTTTGGGCACTTTCGTTGACCAAAAAAACATCGATAATTCGGATCTGATATACAAAAAATAATTGGACTTATCCTATGCCAAGTAGAGTTTTAGGGTGATAAGTTGGTAAGATATATCCCATATCATGATTTTGAGGTTTCCATATCCTGAACCTCCATATCTCCCGCCATATCTCCCGCTCCAGGGCATATCTTCCCGCTAAGAAAGAAAAATTGAAAAATAAGAAAAAAAGAAAAAATGTAAAAAATTGAAAAAAAGAAAAAATTGAAAAAAGAAAAAAAATAGAAAAAAATTTGAAAAATAGAAAAAATAGAAAAATGTGAGAAAATTGAAAAAAAATTAAAAAAAATTGGAAGAAAATGAGAAAACTCTACTTGGTATAGGATAAAGCAGTTATGTACGGTCGGTTTGGATATTGGATTCATCCCTCGTGAGATATACACATCTACCTTCGGTCCCTACGGTCCCTCAGGTAGATATGCATATCTCCCTCTGGATAAACCCCATATCCAAAACCTCCCAGTACATAACCCTTATTTACCCACTTTTTCTGGCGCTATGTTCTGATAAAAAGGCTTGTTTTCAATAGTTCATGAGCTTTTTTGTGTGATAGGTCCAAAATATCGGTAGATAAAGACGATAATTCAATCATTTTTCAAATAAATTCCGTACTTTTCCCTCCTCCTTTTGAAGAGTTCAATGCAGTTAAATTGCGAACGTGTGTTAATTCACCGTAATAATAACCCGGCAAATAGGATACGATTATGCCTCTCATTTGACTTTTTTATCAATGTTTTTTTGAAGTGACCTAAGCTTTCGTCTAGAGGGGGGTGGGGGTTGTTGTCCAAACGAAATTACTTTCGTCTCCATATGAACATTGATATTTTGACCCCGCCCCTTACATAGTAAGAAGTTCTAGAACTTTTTGTTGTCCATCTTGCATCCTGGCGGCCATCTTGGAAATTGTTTAGATAAAACTTGTCATTGAGATTGCAGGAAAACCACTTCACGGATCTACTTCAAATTTTCACACATGTTACATTGTAAGAAGTTCTAGAGCTGATGAACTTTTTGGTGGCCAACTTGCATTCTGGCGGCCATCTTGGAAGTTTTTTATTATTAGATAAATCTTTTCATCGGGATTCCAGGAAAAACACTTTATGGATTTACTTCAAATTTTCACACATGTGATATGGTAAGGAGTTCTAGAGCTAATAAACTTTTCGACGGCCATCTTGCTTACTGGCTGCCACTTGGAAGTTATTAGATAAATCAGATTCGCTTCAAATTTTTACACATGTTATATAGTAAGAAGTTCTAGAACTGATTAACTTTTCGGCAGCCATCTTGCTTTCTGGGTCATCAAATTTACACTGCTACGTTTTAGATGCAATATTGTTCACCCTGTGCCTTGTTTACCATTGAGTCATAAATCAATAGATATTTGATATCACCTCACTTCAACTCTTAAGTCTAAGATAATTCTAGTTTTTCTGTGCTATACATTTATTTAGATAAATGTTTTCAAGATTGTTTCTAAGAAATCTAAAATCTAACGAAAAGTTTTTCACTTTTGTTATCGCACATTATTGGTGACATTTTGTCATGTTAATGCCTTGTTGTCTTATTGTGTATGTTCATCGACGACATGTTGATATTTATATGTATTGGTCTGATAAATAATGCAGTATACGTTTTCAATATTTAACAGAAATATATACTCAAAACTACATCAATACATGAAAATATACCCTATTACGAGTAACATCTTGAATAAGTATTTGCAATGTAGAATATGTTACATAGCTAGACTTGCAAACATATGGATTATTGTTTAGCATGTGTTTCTAGTACAGACATCTGCGCACTCTATATATTTATGCACATACTTTAAAGAAGGCATGACTGCACTTAAAATTTAGTTTTGTGAGAAAACATTCATGTTTTTCCTAAATGGCCATGCAAAAATATCTGAAAATATTGATTGGTTTATCTTTGATGTTGAAATAATTTTGGGTAAATTTTTTGAGATACCCTATAATTAATATATCCTTTGACAAGCCGATTTTCAAGTCCTTTTTGCTTCAGAGATTTCTTTGTTTAAGCCTATAATTCCCAGCAAGTATATGATCTCCAATGTTGAAAGCTATCTAAATGGTCCAAGATGTAGAGTTATCTGTATAGTTTTGTGTTGAATTATTCAGTTTTCAAGGTGGGCTCCATTAATGATATGCTAGTCTTCAGGTTACATTTTAGAAAGAGTGAAGTTGGCCATGATGAGTATTCCTGTAGCTTTAAGTTTTTTTTTATTTATTAAAATTAATGTAACATATTTACAGCTTGTAGTGGCTATGACCCCCAAGAGGGAGTATAGGTGCCACATCATGGTATTTACAATGATTTGTGATATACTATAAAAGTGTACTTGAAATTGTGTGAAGTATTCTATAGATTCTGTTTATATAGATTCTGCTGATTATTGCCCTTTCATACTTCTTGCATGCAGATTTTGAACTGAGCATTTCAGGTCACTTTGAATATGAATCCACAACTATCAGGGCATACTCCCAAACATCAATCTAACATAATCAACACGAATCTGCTTCCATGTTGATTCTGGCCATTCCCATTGATGAGATGAGTCATTCTTACATGTTCAGAGCAACCATGACACGATTTAGTGAATGATTCCAGATCCTTGTCAATGCTTTACTACCAATGAACATACTAGGGCTTCCATTCTGGCTATACCCAAGTGTCCCTGATGTAGGAGAGACTCAAACACAAGCTTTAATCATTACAGACAAGAAGGTCTATGTTCAAAGTCTATTTGTATAAGTGAAGGATCATTATAAATTTAAAGAATATTTAGGCGTTGTTAAAAAGGAAAATTACAGCTATTTGCCATTTGTACTTTGCTCCTAGGTTGGAACTGCAATCCCCATTGTATTGTTACGATTATGCTTAATCCTATAGTACACTATGACTATTCCTTGAATTATTATGGTAATTGCAGTACACACATGAATAATGATGTGTATTGTACATGCATGTTGCTGTGTACAGATTGTAGGTACTACTCCTGCACTGTTGGTTTCTTTCGGGGAACTACTGCTTGTAGGTTTAAGTGGTGTATCTGTTTTCACTGAAATAAGGAATTATTGTAATATTACATTACAAGTGTTATTTTAATCAATAAGATTGCATGTTAATCAATAAAGTCAGGAAATCGAATAAGGAACTAAAATGTTACAGCATTGTGCTTATCTAACCCTAATTTATAAAGTTGACTTCTGTCTTTTTGTCAAGTAACAAATTCATTAAATGCATTTATCTTATCAATTTCTAAGTTTATATTAATTTTTAAGTTGAGCACTTAATTAGCTTAATTAGCTAGATAAGCATAATTAGCTTAATAAGCTTAATTAGCTAGATTAGCTTAATAAGATACGACCATAATCTAGCTTATTAGTACGATCACCTAATATAAAAACCTAATTAGCTTAATTTTAAAAGTGCATACTCACGTTCTCTGCTTATTAGTACAATTAAAAGTATTATAAAAAGATTAAGTGTGTAATACAGGGAGGAGGGAGGGAAATAAAACAAAATACTCCTACCTCCCTATCAATGTGTCTTTCCCAGTTGGTTGGGAATTTAAAATGAAAAGAATGTATTGTGGTGTGTCATGTGACACATGTACCAATAAATCCAAAAGGGGATTGATCAATTTAAACTAAAACACATTGGGGAGTGCCTACTTTGCACGAAACCTCTATTTGTGTAAACAGAAGACTCCCTTAGGCAATTGAAACAATAAAGCACATTATATTACATATAATGTTTATATTTTTTTTAAAATTGTTATTACCATGATGAACAGCCACAGTTTATACGAGTCAATGCTGACTTTTAAGGAGTGCAACTTTGAAGAACTTACAATGGTTATTATTCCTTTTAACTTGATAACAGCTGTAACAGACCTCTTGAGATGTTGTTTTATGCCAGATCATATTTCCATCTTCATCATATGTCTTGCAGCGTTCACCTTGGCCATCTTCAGAAATCATGTTTTGAAATGTACACTTAGTGCAATCATTGCATAGTACTTTTGTTTTATTCGGATATTGTATCTGACTTTCACATATTTTAACTCCTTTGCATGTTCTTTCAGCAATGTTCTTTACTCTTTTAATTTGAATCTTCTGATTCTCTGGACATTCAAGTTTTGTTGTAACATTGTTTCCTTCACAGGCCAATCTTTTACAGACTGAAATATCAAGCAAGGCATGTTTAAGTATGCCTCTTAACAATCGGAAAAGACTATAATGTAAGCCAAGTAATAAGTTACCATATTCAACACAAAATGGCTTAGAATGTATGTTACATGTTGGTGTAAATCATTGCTTACAATGTATGTGCATGACAACTTAAATTAATAAAATTCACAAACTTTCCTACAAAAGAAACCCTTCAAAATCAGCTTTTTGAATTAAAAAAGTTTAATATGCCACATTTTGATATTAGAAATCAACCATGTGTATTGTATTGTTTATACTTTATATGGGGCCTTTAAATGTTTTCTTACCTGGTGAAAGACAGTCAGCAAGAACAAACACCAACACCAAAAATATTGCCAGAACTGTCCATCCATTTTGTTTTTGAATTTTATTTATGAATTCTACCATTATGATACAGACTGGGATGTTTTCTAATAAGGAAAAATGATGCAGAAGTAAATTGTGTGTATTTTGCAGGATTGTTTCCTGGTTGCATTGACATAATAGAATATAATGACTTATTTAATGACCTTTAACTGTAACTATGATGAGCGAAAAGTTGTCCCATCATCAGCAATGTGCCTGGTTTCATTGTTATTTCGGGTCTTTCAACATTGTATAACTCTACCAAGTGACCCCACCAGAGTGGTGTGACACAAGTGTGTGCTACTCAAGCTAAATACTTCTTATTAGTGTCTTATTTTGTTTTCCAGTTATCTGCTCGTTTGATCCGGATCCATTTTGATGCTTTGTCTGCTGATCTTGTGATACTTTTTCCCCCTTCCTTTCTTGAGCTTCTTGAACATTTTCCTCCCAAGGCACTGTCAGTTCAATTAGAACTATTGTGTTTTGATACTTTTGACAATAATACAATATCTGGTATTCTTCTATGAGAGTAGTAGAAGGACAGCCATTGCTGTTCGATGGGATTTCCTAAGCTTTTGCGTTGCTGTTTTCTAGTTTATTTCGACTTCCACCTTCATTGGGTGACCCAAAATGAATGCAACCCATAAATGTGCTTGCAATTTTTATAACCAATAAGACAAATGCTTCATTTTTCACTCATAACAAGCTGAGGTGATAACAAATAAGTGCTATAAGTATGGGTCCTGCCATTCAAATGGTCCATCTTTTACGGCTTTCAAAAAATGTGTTTGATATGACAAACTCAACGTCGCAGGGAATGTGACTTCTAGTTTGGGTTGATTCCCCATAGACTCCATGTTACAAAATTACATAAAGTGAAATATCTTTAATTGTATTGGACAGATAACATTTTCTTTTACTGGACACATTTTAATTTGCATAACTATTAGATACAAGGGTTATATGAGGGTTATATGAAAATTGAACCACTAAAATAGGGAACTTTCTACTATTATCGCCATGCTATCTGACCGAATGAGAAACCTGGTGGTGAAACTGGTTACTATCTTCTCGCATCTGCTTTCTTGCACTTGTTTGAGTAGTACATTATATGTGGTAGAGTTTATATGCCACCCAGCATCATTATGATGATAGCAATAGTGATACATGCATTAAGAACTCTGTTGTTTGGGACCAATGGTACTGCATCAGAAGTTGTAGTCTCTACTAAAATGGAATTATGGTTTGTATTTATTAGTATAATTGACAACATGCATTTAGGAACAGTGAATGTAATAGAAATATCAAATTGGCTACACATGTGCACCCTCCTTTTATAAAGCACAAACAAGTTTAGGAAATTACAAATACAATTGAGCAATTGTTGAAGGTATTGGACATTCAAAGAGCAAAATTGGTCCTGCCAAATAATGCAATAGGTGATTGCATTTAAAGAAAAAAGAACACATTATTGTAAAAATCTTTAGTATTCCTCAATTAAAGTGTGCATTGGGGAATTTTTAGAAAAAATAGAAATAGACAAGATAAGGAATGACGAGCCCAAAATATTCTAAAATTTTGTGTGATTGCTTGCTCTGATTTAATTATAAGGATTAAAAAAATTGTGTGTATTTTGCAGGATTGTTTCCTGGTTGCATTGACATAATAGAATATAATGACTTATTTAATGACCTTTAACTGTAACTATGATGAGCGAAAAGTTGTCCCATCATCAGCAATGTGCCTGGTTTCATTGTTATTTCGGGTCTTTCAACATTGTATAACTCTACCAAGTGACCCCACCAGAGTGGTGTGACACAAGTGTGTGCTACTCAAGCTAAATACTTCTTATTAGTGTCTTATTTTGTTTTCCAGTTATCTGCTCGTTTGATCCGGATCCATTTTGATGCTTTGTCTGCTGATCTTGTGATACTTTTTCCCCCTTCCTTTCTTGAGCTTCTTGAACATTTTCCTCCCAAGGAACTGTCAGTTCAATTAGAACTATTGTGTTTTGATACTTTTGACAATAATACAATATCTGGTATTCTTCTATGAGAGTAGTAGAAGGACAGCCATTGCTGTTCGATGGGATTTCCTAAGCTTTTGCGTTGCTGTTTTCTAGTTTATTTCGACTTCCACCTTCATTGGGTGACCCAAAATGAATGCAACCCATAAATGTGCTTGCAATTTTTATAACCAATAAGACAAATGCTTCATTTTTCACTCATAACAAGCTGAGGTGATAACAAATAAGTGCTATAAGTATGGGTCCTGCCATTCAAATGGTCCATCTTTTACGGCTTTCAAAAAATGTGTTTGATATGACAAACTCAACGTCGCAGGGAATGTGACTTCTAGTTTGGGTTGATTCCCCATAGACTCCATGTTACAAAATTACATAAAGTGAAATATCTTTAATTGTATTGGACAGATAACATTTTCTTTTACTGGACACATTTTAATTTGCATAACTATTAGATACAAGGGTTATATGAGGGTTATATGAAAATTGAACCACTAAAATAGGGAACTTTCTACTATTATCGCCATGCTATCTGACCGAATGAGAAACCTGGTGGTGAAACTGGTTACTATCTTCTCGCATCTGCTTTCTTGCACTTGTTTGAGTAGTACATTATATGTGGTAGAGTTTATATGCCACCCAGCATCATTATGATGATAGCAATAGTGATACATGCATTAAGAACTCTGTTGTTTGGGACCAATGGTACTGCATCAGAAGTTGTAGTCTCTACTAAAATGGAATTATGGTTTGTATTTATTAGTATAATTGACAACATGCATTTAGGAACAGTGAATGTAATAGAAATATCAAATTGGCTACACATGTGCACCCTCCTTTTATAAAGCACAAACAAGTTTAGGAAATTACAAATACAATTGAGCAATTGTTGAAGGTATTGGACATTCAAAGAGCAAAATTGGTCCTGCCAAATAATGCAATAGGTGATTGCATTTAAAGAAAAAAGAACACATTATTGTAAAAATCTTTAGTATTCCTCAATTAAAGTGTGCATTGGGGAATTTTTAGAAAAAATAGAAATAGACAAGATAAGGAATGACGAGCCCAAAATATTCTAAAATTTTGTGTGATTGCTTGCTCTGATTTAATTATAAGGATTAAAAAAATTGTGTGTATTTTGCAGGATTGTTTCCTGGTTGCATTGACATAATAGAATATAATGACTTATTTAATGACCTTTAACTGTAACTATGATGAGCGAAAAGTTGTCCCATCATCAGCAATGTGCCTGGTTTCATTGTTATTTCGGGTCTTTCAACATTGTATAACTCTACCAAGTGACCCCACCAGAGTGGTGTGACACAAGTGTGTGCTACTCAAGCTAAATACTTCTTATTAGTGTCTTATTTTGTTTTCCAGTTATCTGCTCGTTTGATCCGGATCCATTTTGATGCTTTGTCTGCTGATCTTGTGATACTTTTTCCCCCTTCCTTTCTTGAGCTTCTTGAACATTTTCCTCCCAAGGAACTGTCAGTTCAATTAGAACTATTGTGTTTTGATACTTTTGACAATAATACAATATCTGGTATTCTTCTATGAGAGTAGTAGAAGGACAGCCATTGCTGTTCGATGGGATTTCCTAAGCTTTTGCGTTGCTGTTTTCTAGTTTATTTCGACTTCCACCTTCATTGGGTGACCCAAAATGAATGCAACCCATAAATGTGCTTGCAATTTTTATAACCAATAAGACAAATGCTTCATTTTTCACTCATAACAAGCTGAGGTGATAACAAATAAGTGCTATAAGTATGGGTCCTGCCATTCAAATGGTCCATCTTTTACGGCTTTCAAAAAATGTGTTTGATATGACAAACTCAACGTCGCAGGGAATGTGACTTCTAGTTTGGGTTGATTCCCCATAGACTCCATGTTACAAAATTACATAAAGTGAAATATCTTTAATTGTATTGGACAGATAACATTTTCTTTTACTGGACACATTTTAATTTGCATAACTATTAGATACAAGGGTTATATGAGGGTTATATGAAAATTGAACCACTAAAATAGGGAACTTTCTACTATTATCGCCATGCTATCTGACCGAATGAGAAACCTGGTGGTGAAACTGGTTACTATCTTCTCGCATCTGCTTTCTTGCACTTGTTTGAGTAGTACATTATATGTGGTAGAGTTTATATGCCACCCAGCATCATTATGATGATAGCAATAGTGATACATGCATTAAGAACTCTGTTGTTTGGGACCAATGGTACTGCATCAGAAGTTGTAGTCTCTACTAAAATGGAATTATGGTTTGTATTTATTAGTATAATTGACAACATGCATTTAGGAACAGTGAATGTAATAGAAATATCAAATTGGCTACACATGTGCACCCTCCTTTTATAAAGCACAAACAAGTTTAGGAAATTACAAATACAATTGAGCAATTGTTGAAGGTATTGGACATTCAAAGAGCAAAATTGGTCCTGCCAAATAATGCAATAGGTGATTGCATTTAAAGAAAAAAGAACACATTATTGTAAAAATCTTTAGTATTCCTCAATTAAAGTGTGCATTGGGGAATTTTTAGAAAAAATAGAAATAGACAAGATAAGGAATGACGAGCCCAAAATATTCTAAAATTTTGTGTGATTGCTTGCTCTGATTTAATTATAAGGATTAAAAGAGCAGTGATCTACTAACCAGGCCTTGTGGTAGGTACAGAACTTGGATTGCATCGATAGCAGATTTCTTGGGTAGTTGTTTTATGCCAGGTTATATTTCCATCCTCATCATATGCCTTGCAGTGTTCACCTTGGCCATCTTCAGAAATCATCTCATGGAGTGTACACTTGGTGCGATGGTTGCATAATCTTTTTGTGTTATTTGGATATTGGATCTGAATTTCACATATCTTGTCCAAGCCATCCACTTTAAAAAGACCTAAAACAAATATCATAATACTTTTATATAAATCACAATATATTATTTGTTTTTATTTAATCCTCTGTCTAAACATGTTTTTTAAAGTTTCAACAACAAACTTTGAATTGATCTTCATGCTTATTTTGAAAGTAGCTAGAAATTGGAGGGTGATAGATCAAAAATAATTTCAGGAAAGTATGCACAAAATGTGTTTTTAACCATTTTATTGTCTCTCGTATAATGTTCCT